TGAAACACCCCTGCTCTCCTGTGGACAGAGCTTAAGGAAGCTGGGTCCCTGTTCAGCCAGCTGCCATCCTCCTGTACAGTGGTACCTAAGTACAAAAACTTCTTTCTTTCCACAATTCTGGTCGCAAACCGAATTGGATGAGAAACGAATCAAATTCAATGGTTAGACTCAATGTTGACCTTATGGGGAAATTCTATTTGGTTCTCATCCAATTTGGTTTGCAAGCAGAATTGTAGAAAGGATGAAATTTCTGAATCAAGGCAACACAGTATTGGGTTAAAGAGAATAAAAGGGGTCCTAGTATCAAAAGCTTTAGCTCAGGATTATTCTGTGGGTGACAAGTGGCATTCTGGGAGAGACCAGTAAGACATAACCCTGATGTGCCCTCCGTAGTCCCCACTGATGTTGGCACAAGGGTCTTCTCTCCTGGAGCACTGGCTTTCCAGCTGGTATCCTGGCCCAGACCCCCATGAGGATACCCAGAGATGCACTTTTTGGGTTCACATGCTGTAATGCTTTCCTGGAGACATGATTTGGCCACAGGGGTTTGCATTCAGGTGCCAGCTGAGGTACTAGGAAGCCTTGGATGTGGAATTTAAGAGAGTGTGGGGCATGGAGCAGGTAATTATTGGAGTTTCAGGGGTCGTCAGTGGGGAATCCTGGAGAAACTCCTCCATCATAACAGCGGCTGTTAGCAGTGCTGTCACACCACAGCTCTTCCTGGGACGAGCCAGGCGAGGTTGGAGAAGAGGGCAGGGCAGGAGAATAAATTTCATTTTATTGTAGAAATGGAAATTTGTGCCATGGCTTTAAAAATCTGATTTTATGTGTGTGTTTAATGCCATTCATTTTAAATGTAGTCTCATAAATCCTTGCTTCGGAATCAAAGCTGTTTAATTACATTTCACCCATGACTAGTTATCTAATGCCAATAGAGAAAGAGTTAAAAAGGAGAACTACAGAGTAAATCAGAGGTGAGATCTTTAGCACAAGCATAAAAAATCAATTTAAGATGAATTTTACTACTATAAAAATTCTTCACATATCCTTTTAAGAGCGGGAAATGGTAGGAAACGCAGCTCACATTTCAGATCCCCTAGCAAGGTGGAGAGTAAGCCACCAGCATGGGCATGGCCTGGGAGCACCAAATATGCCCATGCACTCAGGGTGCCTCTTCGTAAGGACCATAAGTTCTGTAGGTTTGGTGGTCCCTGGTGGGTGCAGAAGCTCCTGCCTCTCACTTTGAAATGCCCATCTGTGACAGTGAATGCTGGCTTCTCTGAGGAAACCCTGTTTGTGGTGTTGTGGTAGCCAACCAAAAGTCTTGAAAGTCTTGAAAGGCTAATGCTTTTCAACCTCAAAAGTCTTGAAAGCTAATGCTGACTTTGACCTTGATCCCCTCGCCTTTGCTGCCTGCTTGACCCACAACCCACCCCACTACTTGGGCTCTACAAGAAGTCACTTGAGTTCCCCTTGCAGAAGACCCTAGGCCAAGGTGATTTGGCATGGGGGCTTGACATGGTCCAGTCCCTCAGTTGAGGTCACTGTGCATGAACTGTCAAGATTGTTAGCTTCCTGTCTAAGCAGACAGAGTCACCTTGAGGCCATTGTGGGCTGTGCTCTGAGGGAGCTCTGACTTAGCTTCAGGTGGACACCATGCCTGCTCCCTGTATTTTCCTGGTATCCTTGGAGATCAGAATAGCAAAACATATTACACATTTCTCTTTTCTTTTAGACTCCATTGTATGTGGTTAGAGATGACCAGAGCAAGAATAAAATGAGAATTTTGTCTCTAAAATTAAATAATTTTTAAACCAAGCATGGGATAGAAATTCGCCTTTCCATCATCAGACATTGCTAATAGGGAAAGAAATTAGGCAGTGAAAAGATAGTGTTTCCATTTCCCCAGGAAGTGCTCCAGGAGAGGCCTCATTCTCTGGCTATGGAGTAAACCTCACATTTCAAGGACCTCCTTTTTTTTTTTGGTCTTTTTGAGACAGGGTCTCACTATTCAATTCAGGCTGGCCTTGAGCTCACTTTGTTGCCCAGTCTGGTCTCAAACTCACAAGGATCCTCCTACTTCAGCCTCCCAAGTGCTGAGGTTACAGGTGAGCACCACCATGCCCAACTGAGGGGCCCCTTTTTGCATAGGCCCAGCAACGGTTTCTGGGCAGCTGTACCGGCTAAGACAAGAAGCTGTCTGCTCAGGGCACTGTGCTAAAGGAAAGCACTATCCAGCCTTGCAGCAGCTTGGGAAAAAACCTAGACCTATTCTACCTAGTCATAATGTTGAGGGTCAGTTGGTCCACCAGGCTTTGAGTCTCAGGCCCGACTTCTCATCTCAGTGGTCTGTCCCTGCCTGGTGAGTTCACAGCTCCCCTTTCCATCCATTCCCTGGTTCCTTTCTGAGGGCTGTCAGTGTTTGCATGCAAAGGTGGCGTTCCCTGACTGACTTCCTGTCCCTGAGATGGAATGCAGAACTTAATCCTGGTGAACATGTGCTAGGGTGTTTGAACATGTGTGGTCTGTGCCTCCTTTAAGCCTCACCCTTAGAACATGTTTTGCTGCACATGTGAGCTACTGTTACCTTCCTAAACTTCTGTTTTAACCATGAGTGCACTTTTGTAACTAGAAGGAAGGCATGTAGTTTCATTGTGTGCCACTTACTGTCCAGATTTGTGCAAGCTTGGTTTGCTTTTTACAAGGGAGGACTAACCACTCTACATGCTACCCACTCCCCTGGTCTTAAGATACAATATTGACTACATCATCTTTTCCAAGCCAGCCTCTGATACTGGTTGAGCTGAGATGAACCACTGGTCTCCTGCAGCCCACAGCTGCAATCCTGGACACTAGCATGGGAACAGGCTTTATCCAGGCAGCCCTCACACAAGAGCCACAAGTTGCCCTGATGCACTGCTGTGGTCTTCTTCTGGAGCACTGGGTCTACCTGTTTCTTAATACTGTTGCCTGCTGGGAACAGCCAGGGCATTATGGCCTCTGGTCAGATATCCCTGTATCTTGGTTACTTTTCTCTCTTTGCTGAGACAAAATACCTGATGCCCAAAATTAAGGAAGGAAAGGTTTATTTAGCTCACAGTCTGTGGAGGTTTCAGTACATACTCAGCTGGCTCCAAGGCAGGGTGGCACATGGCAGAGGGCAACAGTTCATGGAAGCAGAAGATAGCAAAGAAGCAAGAGCAAAAGGGAGGAGTGGTGGCAAGAAGCCTCTTTCCCTCCCTTACATTGTGTGCAAACTACCCACCTCAGGGCAGGTATAGCACTCACATCCACAATTCCAGCATTGGGCCATAAATCAATCATAAATCTAAAAACCTGCCCCATGACTGCATGAGGATTTGGGGGGACATGCAGACACAAACCATAACACCCAGTCACACACATGAGATACCCTACATGTAGGAGAGAAGGATACCCTACCTGTAGGGGAGAAGGACCCTTCTTGGCCTACCACACACAGCTTATGCATACCATTCAGAGACTGGCAATCCTACCATCCTTCACCACAGCCTGACATCCTGTCATGTGGCCTTTCACTTTCTGCATCTTTATTTACCCTGACATGCCCCCAGGATGGCTTGGGTGGCTTTTCTGCAGAGCCAGTCTCACCTCATGTCTTGCCTCACACAAACACAGGTAAGGTTGTGTCCTAGGGTATTTCAGCATCTCCTGTCATACCTGTGCTAGGTCACATTTCCAGGTGAATAAAGACCACCTACCTTCATCAGGATGCTCAAAAGGGTCAAGTGTAAGGACAGATTGTCTATAGATGGAAGTATATATGCTATCCCTGAAAGGATGCCTGGTGAGCTGTTGGCCAAGGGAAACAGGAAGGCCAGGCTGATAGGCTCAGGGAACATCTTGCATCTGCCTCTCAGAGGTTTCTCCACCTTCCCACAACAGCCTCATCAGCTTTGTGAGAAGATCCACTGGGCCTGGGGAGCCACTCAGAAGTGGCTGCCTATAGGGAGCCTCAGGAAGTAAAACAGGAAAATTAGCAGAGATATCCAACCCAGGGCTGTGCCTCATGCATGTGGACTCCTAGGAAATGGAAATAAATACTGGATCCAGCATAGAACTCTAGGGTCAGAGCCCAGAAACAAAGCTCTGACAGGAATGTTGGCTCAGAGCACAACCTCAGAAGGTAGACGCTGGCTGAAGATGAGCAGTGGGCTCAGTGAAGGCCAAATCAAGTACAGAGAAGGATCACCCATAATGAAGCAATAAAGGAGTAATCTGAAGCTTCTCTGAAATGTTTGAATTTAAACATCCAGACATTGAAGAGGAGGTAGTGGCCAGAAAGAGCCAGGAGGATTTGAGAGAGAACTAAGTAAACATCCCAGGCATAGTAGTCACAGTCCTATCATTGAAGCACCAGGCCCACCGGGGACTCCTGCATGGATCAGCCACGCTAGAGCTTGGGAATAGGTAGCCTGGTTATGCTCTGAGAAACTCTCCCAAATGCAGCACAGAGTCGCCCGAAGGAATGGATATGCCCTTCAGTGTTAGGATTCAGACTAGGTGGTACAATGTGTATAGTACAGCCTGTTACTTCGATAATATTTCTGAAGAAATTTTTTATGAGAAATACTTGATGATTTTAGCTGGAGGAGTACCATCCATAATCCTTAAAAGAGAACACATTCACCATTGTTTTTATGTGTCTGTCTCTTGATCTTTCACATTTCTGTACTTTGTACGGTACCTGTAGACTCACAGAGCCCACATGTGGGCCTTCCCTGTGGTTTGTAAGCCAGAAGATAGAAGAACAGATGAGGTGACAGCATTCTCCTTAAGGATATGTATATATCCTCCCACAATCTGTCTTTCTGCTTTCCGGCCTGTTGTACAGCTGGTGGACACAGGCGCCCAGGGAGTAACTGGCAGTGCTCCCCAGCTAAATACAGTAGGCATTAGCTTTTCACATGTGTGGAGGCAAGGTCCAGAAGTTTACTAAACCCCTGTTATCACTTTTGCAGCCCCACGGAGGCCCCAGCAATTCCTGAGGCTCTCAGCAATCCAGAAGGAATGACAGAGCCCCTGATGCAGTGCGCAGCCTGGCTGGATGCCTATTTCCACAAACCTGCGGGCATCGATGGACTCCCCTTGCCTGCTCTACACCATCCCGTGTTCCAGAAAGGTTAGTGCCTGCCTTTCACATGCAGCCTGTTGGGAGCTCCGCTTGTGAACTATCACTGACATCATAGCTCATTTATTGACTACACCAACTTGCTATTTTCACATCATCTAGAGACAGGCAGCATGTGGCCAAACTGAAGGACAAGAGCTCGTGATCCCCGCCCATTCCAAGTGGTTGTGTTAGTTTTGGCATGTGGTCACATAATTCTTGGCAAAGGCAGTAAAAATGATGCATGCAGATCGACTCTTGACTCTCGCTGGCTGAAAGGTTTAAATAGGAGCACATCTGAATAGCAGTAAATTTTTCAATAAGCTTATTGTTAACTTAAACTATCTGCCTGCCAACAGCACAGAAAATGAGACTTGTACATGGACAATTAGCCACTTCCATAAACTCACGTGGTGACAGCTACATCATAGGCATCAACTAGATCTTCTCAGATAAATTTTAACTTCTCAGAATTACTGTAGTTAAAAGTATTCTTAAGAGATGAATTGATGTTGCTTAAATGTAGCATGCTAAAGGCGTTTAAAGTCTCTGATAACCTAAAAACATTTTCTTAGCATTTCTTTTAAAGTTTTTGTTTGAATCTGCTCAATGCAGAAATTTAACATCATTCTAGATGCATACCAGAAATTTATTCTGCATAGTGATTTTTATAATTATTTTAGTGTAAATGAATATATATTCATATTCAGATGTATATGTGTGGATATATACATATCCTTAAGGAAAAAAATTACCCTGAGATTTTAGATATGATACATTTAAAGCAGTCTTGAATTTCAACATAGTGCTTATTGAGTACAATTAAAGGTATTTTAAATGCTGCTAAGAATTTTTACTAAAAACAAACTTGGAGTTTTCAGTGAAGCAAATACAGAAGCCCCTGAGGTTGCACTAAATCTGAGTTTACTAACAAGGTCAGACAAGTATGAATACATAATACCAGGAACTTTTGTATGTGTGCACAAAATGCACTAGAGTATAGCTGCAATGAACTAGGCACATTATTCTCCCCTGTAACAAACAGAATTGTCTCCAAAGGTTTCTCTCAGTAGGAACTCCATAATTTCTAAGTGGGGGGTGGGTGGATGAGTGTTTTCAGAATACAGCACACATTTAAAGAACCTCTGTCATCACCCATAAGGCACAGAGGCCAAGGGTGCTGTCCAACCACCTTGCCCTGCCCCTGCCCAGCACATCACCCTACCTGCTACCCCTCCACCATGTGTCCATCCCCAAGAGTTGTGAGCCCACTGGTTGACCACATCTGACCCTGGCAGGGATGCTACTATATAGTCCGAAGAAGTGAGATGGGTTTAGTTTTTTAAGTAGGACTTGGGAACCTTCAAGCAACTAATTCCACTATCCACTGTCTCCATTTGATGTTACTGCCCTACCAGGAGCAAAGTGAAGCTGCCCAGCAGGCTCTTCTCTACAAAATAGGACAGGAAGTATCCGTATAATTGTATATGGGGTAGAGTGGAGGATATGAGCCTTTGAAATCCTAAATTTAAGATTTACTGTATAACTTAATGAAAAATGTAGAGGCCAGCAGTGCAAGAAAATTGCTAGAGTTGCAGCAAGTCTGACAGTGGTACTGGTTATAAGAGTGATGGCCCATCTCCCACCGAGTCCAGAAAGTCATGTGCCCTTATGCCAGACAGCCATGGAGGAGGAACCTCTGTGGCTGCCCACAGTGTAGGGCAATGATAATGGGATGATCAGTTACTCCTCAAGCTAGCACTTAGGCTTTGTGGCCTCATTGCTGCCCCACAGCAGTGTTTCCTGGCCCCTGATCCAGGGACTGACACTTGGGACTCCTCAGGTACATTTCCAGCCCCTCAGGAGACCACTTTTGCCCCAGTGTCCCTGGCTCAGAAGTCTACATCAGATCCACACAGGCTGTCTCCATGCCTGCAGATCATGCTGTGTCTTAGTGACCAGGAAGACCTACAGTAGCCATTGGGATAGGGTAAAGCCACTCAGCTGCTCCAGCCCTGCAGTTCAGGCAAGCACTTCTCACTAGGACAAGGTCATCTCTGGCTCAGTTTTGTGTGGGCAGAGCTCAGACTCCAGCACCTTTCTTTCTCTTGGTACCCTGGGACTCCAAGGCAGGTGCAGGACCAGAGTGTTTATTTCTGGTGCTTGCTCCTGAGACCTACAGTCCCCTGAGCCAGGCCCACCTGCCACAGTTAGTGGATGCTGCTGGGGATGGGGTTTCTCACACTCAGGCGTGTGCAAGCCAGGTTTTTTTAATTTAGCGCAATCATTTACTCCTGAGCAGAGACCAGGTGTATGGCTTTTACAGTTTCAGGAAGGGAGGTGGTGGCTGGTGCTAACACAGAATTAATTGGTACTACCCCCAGATGTGTAATACCCGCCGGTCTTTCTGGCATTTGTTGGGGTTCCCCTTTGTCCAGTTTGCATTTTATAACACCAGTGACATCAACAGTGAAGGAAAAGTCCCACAGAAGGAAAGTCTTCCAACTTCTCAACACCCTCTGGAAGCTGTGGGTTCATAAGAATCAATATTCTGTGCAGATAGAGAGGAACAGGCCCATTTGAAATAAATGTTTCCTCAGCCAGTTCTATTTTCTGTGCATTTTAATTTTTAGATGTGTTTGACATACTTTTATGTATCATTTTTCATCATATTCTTCTCAGATTCTATCCATTTCAACTTGTTTGAAAAGTACAAATATAATAGCTTGATCTTAGGGCTTTAGCACATTTAACTTTTCTTCCTGAAAGGCTGGCTTGCAACACTTAGGACCCACTGGTGCCAGGTTCTCCTCCTTCCTCATCTCCAGCATGGCCAATTCTGCTCAGGGCTCCCTTCCTGTTCAGGAGACCACCTGTCCTTTTCAAGGTCCTTCCATAAGACGAATATGCTATTCTTGGGTGGGTGGGTGTGTGTGTGTGTGTGTGTGTGTGTGACTGAACTCAGGGCCTCTGCACTGAGCTACAGTCCTAACCCCTTTTTTTGAGATGAGGTCTCACTAAATCATTAAGTTGCCCAGGCTGGGCCAAACTTGTGCTCCTCCTACTTTGGCCTCCCAGAGGGCTGAGATTACAGGCACGTACCACTGTGTCTAGCTCTGATTAGTTTGTTTTTTCAAGGCCAGGCCAAAAAACAATGTATTAAGTTGAATCATTTGACATTGCTGTTTTTGTATTATTTGTATATTTGTATATTATTATTATTTGTATTATTTGTATACATTTGTATATATTTGTATAATATACATTTGTATATTTGTATATATTTGTATAATATACATTTGTATATTACCAAGTAGGAAGAATTTCGTGTAGCACAAATTCTTTTCTTAAAGAATTTCCAAAGGTTAGTAAGTGATAGGTCAGTTACCTGGGCATTTGTATGGAAAGGGACAGTTAAACTACTCTTCCTGATCTGGAGTCTGGGTTCTGTGCAGCTGTCTTTTTTCTGGGCTGCACCAGGTGGGATTGTCCCTGGACATGGAAGGTGAGATCCCTAAGGGACAGCTTGTTTTCTCATTGAAGGAATCAAAATAGAACCCAACTGTTGGACACAGTGTGTTCTTTCTTGTCAGATTGCTGTCTCAGTAGTAGTCAGGTCATTCCTAAAATAACATTAGTCAAAGGTTTGTGTTTGTTTGGTTGTTTGTTTAGTTTGCTATACTAGTGTACTAAAAGTTTCAGTATTCTGCTAAAAGTCTTTCTCGGTTTTCTGACTACTTTAGAAACACCATTCTTATTGCACAGTGAATCGTTTTAAGAAGACCACTTTTTCCCTGTAAATTTCTTGTGCAGGTTAGCTTTGTGTTCGTTTTTTGCCAACAAATGCTTATCTAATGAAACCATGATTCTTGAACTTCGTCCTTACTTAATGTTTCTTGCATCATGAAATACTACTTAAACTTTTTTCTTACCACTCCTTGATGTCTTCATATTTTTTGTGTTAAACATGTTAATTGCTTTGTATAAGCTCCATCTTACTGTGGATTTAGAGATCTTTGTCAGTAGTAATGAGAATAGGAAAAGTAGTCCTTGCCTAAAGCACTTTTTCATAGTGAGCTCCAGAGGTGCAGACCTGAGGGATACCTGAGTGGACTTTCAGATGCAGAGTGAATGTGGGCACACTCTGCTCTCTCCCATCTCTGAGCCCTTTGACTCTGAGATCCTCTCAGCAGGTGTGGGTGGATGATGCAGCACCCAGGGGACATAGAGTGGAGCTGCTGACCCCAGGCTACTGAACTTGGGTCTGGGTTTGACCCTCTCTGCCACTATCAGGCGTCAGCAGGCACCCAGGGCAGGACAGGGTGCTGGCCCCCCACTGTGGCCTTATGCATGGTGGAACCTGCTGGTCCTTGCTGGGCTGTCTCACAGAGAATGGCTCTCAATAGATGAGTTCTGAGTTTTTCTTTTAAAGTGACTGCAATGTTCCCTTTTAAATGAAATATTTAACATTTTAATAATTCCTTCGTCACAGCTATTAGCTTAGCTATGAAATCCAGTTGTGTGGCAGCAATAAAATCTGCATTTCTACACCTCTGGCTACAGATGAGTGTTGTGACTCCCATTACACAGCCTCAGAAAGAATTCATGGTCTCATATTTGTGTCTCCATGGAACTCCTCATCTAAAGGGCCTCTCACAAAAACCTGCCAGAGAGTTAGGGGAAAGGCTTTTTGGGGAGTGAATTAATTTCCCAGTATGTCCTGGAAGACTATCTCAGTGGGGGCCATGGGAGGCCTGGAAGGCAGATAATGACCAACGGAGGGGCAGTGGAGTAGACATTTCCCTGGGTCCTTAATGGAATCAGCTTTTTAAAAATATACCTTGGAGAGCCAAGCAAGGGCTGATCTTGAACCCATCACCCTGTTATGCTGAATGGCCCAGCCTTGGCTCTTATATCGTGGCAGCCTGCATCTGCCCTGTCTTGGCACCTGTCATCTGCCAGGTGGTATCCATCTCCTGGGAAAGAGGCACTCAAGCCTCTACCTGAATGTC